TCAACAGGCTAGAGAAATGAGGAGAAGGAGTTGCAGCATGACCATGCCCCGTGGAGGGTGGTTTGTTCCCTCTTTCTCTCTCTCCCTCTCTATTTTTGTCTGTCTGGTAAGCACACACACCCTATGGCAATTAAAAAAAAAAAGTATAGGTTCTCTTCAGTTTTGCCTTTTTTCCCAAGTCATATTGCTGATAGGAGTACATGCACAGTTTTATCGTTATTTGGGACTTTTTATTTGTTTGTATTTGATGTGACTAAACCATAATGTCTCCGATTTGACACTTTTTCCCTTCTCTACTAAAGTCATTGAAATATATCCACCCAGTCATTCTCATCAGAGGTGTAAATGGATTTTCTGAAAGTTTTTCAGAGACAATGAAATCCAGTCACTCCATGCCTTGATTTCTTCAGGTGGTGCAATCAGAAAGCGTTACACAGCATCCCAGTTGCAAGGATGCTAAAACTGTCTTGACCTTGAATCTGCAAGGAGGTGGTTAACATCCTTTGCTGGAAGTGTTCAGCCACCACCTCTTTGGTTTTGTCCACTTATGTAGAATTTACTTAGCAACGAGAAAGGAGAGGAATCAAATGGAGCTCTTTATATACCTAAGAGAAAATAACATGTTTATTTGTCTTGCTGGCTTTCCATGATTGTTGCTGTCAACAGTTACAATTTTTATTTTACCCTTTTTATCATTGGTATTTGCAAAAAGTTCACTTTAAAAAATTGTATCAGCCATGTCACACCAATGGCTTATTTCTCCATTTGTTTCATGTCATCAAAAAGACATACGACATTTAAAATATAACCTGGGGAAAAGAGCTGAAGATTGCAAAGATTGTGTTTACACCAGTCAAGAGCATAGGCTCTGGAGTCAAGGACAGATTCAAGTCCTGGCCTTGCCAATTCATACTTTCTTGGTCCCTTTGAGGCACTTAGTAGGTGGGGAATAATAACAGTACCCACCTGAGGGTTTATTGTGAGGGTTACATAAAATAACAAATATATTCCTTTATACAGTGTCTGATGTAAGTATTCCACAAATGTTAGCCATGATTATTTTAACCATGACTTCACTGAAACTTAATTATGGTGCTCTTGTCCAAGTCAATGCATCATGGCTGACTCAGTTTCTAATACAGCTGAAAAGTAGGCTTTCACATTATATAATAATTCGGTCCTAGAGCCAGCCAGGTGACATGGTGGTTAAGGTGGGTGCATCCCACAAAGCCTACTGTGTAAATCAAGTCTTGAACCTGGTGACTTAAAAATACTCTGGACACATGTCCATGCCCAAAATCCTGAGAGGAGAATGGAGAAGAAGGGATTGTAGTATGGCCATGCCCCCTGAGGAGTGTGCTTCCTTCTTCTCTTTCTCTCTCTCTCTGGTGAGGACACATACTCTATAGCAAATTAAAAGAAAGAAATTCTGCCCATGATAGTTAATGAAATTACATGGCCGTTTTTGTTTTTGTTTTGGAGGGGGTTTGCCTTAGGCATATGTGCTCACTGGAAAGAGAGAGACAGGGACAGAGACAGAGACAGTGAGAGAAAAAATGAGAAATCACTCCCCAGAGCGGATGACCACGTTACAATCCCTTCTTCTCCATTCTCCTCCTGGAGTCTTGGGCACTCACATACATGAGCCCAGCATGATTTTCAAGCCACCAAGTATGAGACTTGAACTGCAGCCAGCTATGTAGGAGTCTAGCAATGTAACTGCTATGCTGTCTGCTGGCCCCAGCATGGCCATTTTTGAGAAAATGGTGGGGAGTATTGAATCTGGAGTTAGAATAAACATCCTATTCACTAGGAAACTTTTAACATTTTAAAAACAAACATTGTAAGTCCTTGGAAGAGCTGCAAAAACCTTGTTATGTCTTGGTGACTGTACATTAGTAGTAGTGCAGAAAAGGATGTTTTCAACAGTCCTCTACTTTCCAGAATGTGGTCATTTCTAAGAATCATTTGTCAACTTGACACAAAAACCATAGAACAACTAATAACCACATACTCAAATGTCATAAACAGAACCCTGTAGAAGACTATACTAGTTGTGGAAATCTGTGATTAGTGACTAGTGGTATAATGGAGTCAGTTCTGGATTTAGGCCTGCCAGTTATTTGCTGTATGACTTTGTGTTTGGCTGCATGACTTTTCTGAATCTCAGTTTCCTCATCTGTAAAATGGAGTTAATATATAACCAAATTATCTTAATAGAGCAGCATCAAATTTTAAAATATATGTAAAAGTGCTAAAAGAACATACCAATGAGTGTACTAATGCTGAGACCAGCAGATGGCATAATGGTTACATCACTGGACTCCCATGTAATTGACCACGGTTAAGGTCCTGGACCCAGTGGCTTGAAACTCACACCAGATACATGTTTGTGCGTGTCCAAGAGCCCAAGAGGAGAATGGAGGAGGAGAGACTGCAGCCTGGTCATCCCCCCCACCAGGGGGTGATTTCTCACTTTCTCTCCCTCTCTCTGTCTATCTCTGCCTCTCCAGTGAGTGCACATACCCTATAGCAAAATATCTCTCTCTCAAAAAAAAAAAAAAA